TAGCTCTTCTTTGTCAATATTGCATTCACGAACATCTAAATTTCTTCTTCGCTGCTGTATTCCACTGCCATCTATACATTATCCGTTAATTTATCATTGCGAGCGGCAAATCGAACAAGTCGACGAATTCCAACATGTTAATTCGCATAAATAAAGTTAAATCACTGCTACACGAGATCGTGCTCGGATTTTATACATAATATATTACGAAAATTTAATCTATATCGAATTAATTTTTTTTCCACGGTCTGACGTGCTCACCTCGCGACTTATTCGAGCTTGATTTAATTATTATTCCATCATTCTGCAGAATACGGTAAATTATTTCAATATAAGCGAGGATAGGTCAAATATAATGTATAGAGGTGCGTACGTGAGAGGCGCGAACTCCAACTTAATTCGTTTAATTATATAAAATGGACGCTGCTGGAAGCGAGTGCAAGCGGGTGTCAGATAATTTTAGTAAATTTATATCAATATATGTTGAAATATTAAGGCTTAATGGACCATGACCGTAGTCATCGCAAATACCTATAAATACTAAACTGGCAATAAGGAAATAAAAATTTTTTTCACCCTAGCCCGGACGTAAAAGTGATTGTTAGTAAAAAATGAGCTGTGTCAAATTTTAGCATTATAAAAAATGAATTTTTTCCAAACTTCTATCGTTTAAAGGATTTTTAGATTCAAAATAATTAACTTATTAATAAAACCGATTTGATGAAGAAAAACGCCTTTGAAGCTGAAAAAACTTTTTTATTCTCATTTTTTTATCAAAAGAAACTTAATCTTGAGGCTTAAACCCTGAATGAGATCTAACAATTTTCAAAAAAGTACCCTTTTTCATGAAGCAAAATGTGGAAAATGTTATTTTTTTCTTGTCCAAGTGCTTGAATATGATATTTAGCTTTTAGTTCATATTTTGACGTTGATCGTTTGATAGTTTAGTTTATTGGGTCTCGAGGCAAGCCCCATCTGTCACTCATGAAAATACCATATGTAATTAATCTATTGACCTGTACATCAAATTGTACGATAAGTGTAAGAAAATGAAATAATTAAATGTAAAAATCAAGAATGATGAAAAATAAAAATGAGGTAAATTATTAGATGGCATTGAGCCTTGCTCTTTGATAATATGTAAAAGTAATCGGGTAATGTCTGAAATGTTTGTTCATTGATTAATCATCACTTATTATTAAATGAGACTACTTCTAAGCTTTGAGGATTTCATAAAAGATACTTATTAAATTTGTTTAATAACAGTCTGGGTAATTGATAAAGAGGCTTTTACAAGAAGCAGTGAAGGAGTAAATAATACTCGCACAATACAATATCATGCACGCAGAGAAGTGCATGTAAGGCCAAAGTTGCAGGAGAAGAACATACATTCGAAGCGAGTATTGTCGCGATCGGCAACGGCACTGCTTGCAAATCAAATAGCCGATATCATTGTTCCTCTCTCGCTCTCTCTCTCTCTCTCTGCTGCTAGTGCTGCTATATATCGCTCTACATATCTGCACTTGGACGCGTTTCTAGTTGTTAACCCAGTCGAGCGGACTCACATGCATGCACATACATATACCACTGCACCGAAGGTAGTCAGCAACTACGACTAGCTAATAACTATTGGCCCTAGAGCGATCGCTACAAGGCTACCTACCTGACCCTACCTCTCTCTCTCTCTTTCATCTCTCTCTCACTTCGACATATCCTCTCATTCTCTTATGCGCCTATATATGTGTATTCTATATACTAAAGGACCTGACTACATAGTGCCGCTGCTGCTGACGCTGCTTAGTCAACATTAATCGATGCATGCCCGTTTCATCTTAATTATTCATTTGACAACGTTTACGCACATATGAAGAGTAGAAGAGAGAGAGAGAGAACGCAAGCTAGATGACTACGTAAAGAAACATACACACAGGCAGTGCAGAATCTACACTTGTCGCGTGCATAAATTATCAATCAGCTATTCGGCTAAAGCAAACAGTGCCAAACGTGCGTGAGGAGAGATCGAAAGAGGGCATGCACTGGTCGCTCATTTAGACAAAGCCCGATATGCAACTATAAATTATCCTACACCCTCCCGATATATAACTTTCGAATTTACGATGTCAACATTATATTTATTTTAATGTTCTTAAAGACGTTTTCTTTTCCAAATTTCTCCTTTGAAACTCCATAAATTATTAATTTTTCAAAAAGTTTTTACTTCGCTCACTTTATATACTTGTTGGAGGTTTCAAGTAGATTTTGGTGGGCTAATAAGACAGCTGCCAATTCTTTGACTCATCGACATAACCTGGTTTTATTTATGGTTATAAACATAAAAATTGTCTAAATTATTATTAAAAGTTTGTGTAAAGTATTGCAGTGCAACGAGTATAAAAACTTTGAAATATGGCATTAAGTTTATTACTTCATTAAAACTATAACATTAAAAATGATTTACCAAATAGGAGAAAAAAGAAATTCCAAAATAACATCGCTTAAATAATATCAGAGAAAGTAATGTATCATCTATTTTAGCGCCTTCTCAGCTCAATGTACAAGTATGTGTGAGATAGACATGAGAAATATTGTACTTATAATTGTGCAGAAATAGTGTCTCGTTTGATTAAAAAGCAGTGAGTCGGAATGCGTCTTTGCAGATAAACTGACGTGATTACTTAATATTGTAAGATTCGAGTTTCTAACAATAGACAGTTTTTATCTTTTTTTAGATCAACTTATTCGTTTGAAGTAGTTACAAGAACTTATAATTCCTATCTGAGGTAAATAATAAAATTCTAAAATTACAGGTTCATATTCATAGTGCCATCAAAAATATCCGTTTGAGAAATTATATCATATATCTGTCTAATAAGAAATTACCCGATTCTCATCATAAAACATAACTGCTGTGCATGGCTAGACCAAAAATTTCGATAAATTTTTAACAACTAGTGAATAAGCCCTTAATTCAAGCTACAAGGCAATGGAAATTCAAAAATTCATAACTAAATTTGTATCAGGTGAAAAGTAAAAAATAGCAAAATATTAATGAGTGCAAGACCAAATAACGACCTAAAATGGTTTGCAATAAATTATTATAATTGACTAATAGCCTCGTCAACTATTACGAATTTACAGAAAACGGATATTGCTAATTATTCATTTGGTAATTTCTTGTACAATTGCTCAAACCGAGTCAAATAATTGTCATACTTTGAGCAAGAATAGCTCGCCCTTTTCTGCGACCTATTATTGCATTTTCTTATTAATGCTTCACTTTGTTTACTCATATCTTCAACCTATTCATACTAGTTTGCAAAGTTTCAATAAAAAGCACTCATCTTTGTTAAAAATCGTTCATTATATACTGAATATTTTCGCGCTAATATTTCAATAATATCGTTCCGTAGTTCGATATGATATGTGTTGAAGTAACAATGTTTTTCTTTCTTTATTAATTTGTTGAAATAATTGTCGGTTGAACACTCGCGCGAGTACTCGACGCCACAAAAAGTCAAGAAATAAAAATAGTCAATTTTTGTATTCGAAATAAGTTAACCGAAGGGAAGGCTCCCCTCAAGCCACGTACACGAAAAGATTCGAAAAACGCATCGCCAGACACAATTTTATACGCACACATAGCCGACTGATCTCCGCTGCAAGTCCATAAAAAAGAGCAATATTCTTTCATCAGTACCTCGCGGGCATCGTTACTCAGTACAACACGCGTGTAACAGCTTCCTCGCTCTCGTTCTCTTTCGTTGCTGTCGCGCGAGCGACGCTGTCGTTACATGCTTTTACACGTTTAATATTGTACGCATCTAGCCACCTTTTCTCTCTCCTCACCTTACCCTCTACATTTCCACTGAGTTTTTATACTCGCGGTTCTGTGTATTATATACGCAAAAATCACCTTCGAGTGAGAGGATGAGAAGCAGGGGGAAAAACGTATGTGCTTCTGGATGAAAAAGTCATTTTATTTCTATCACGAAGAGAATTTTTTTCTGACACTGTGATGTTTGTGTTGTTTTTATATTTTCCGCAATCAAACCTGCCGTGGTCTTCCGTTGTTTCCTCCAAACTCGTATTTGCTTCGAATCAGCGCTGTTTTTCCCCAATTTCATTCAATTTTTACCGCTATTTTGATTACTATTACGGTATTATGTCTAATACATTTATATTTTTTGTTTGACAACATTTCGCTTTATTCAATGAGTAGATAACTAAAACTAACTAATTCAGAATTATTGAATGGAAAAATTTAATTATAAAAAAATGAGTTTACTTGTAATCATTCAATTCAAAATTGATGCAAATTTTGCTGTAACGTACTGATTGAAAACTAAAAAGCAAAAGCTTTTTAATTCAACTCTATGATCAATTAAAGAATTCAAATGTATGATGTATTAATAGAATTGAAAAAAATGATAATATTAAAAGAAACGATAACATTTCCGAAGCAAGATCAAATAGCTGCCAAATCGTTTGACGAACGTTGAACAAATTTCCGCGGGAAAAAGTAGATTAGCTGCACATGTTTAGTCTAAGACCATCAAGAGTCTGAATGCAAGTGTGCCGCCGTTGGCGAGCTCGCGGTCGGGCCTTTGAAAATCCAGCAAGAAAACGTATGCAGCAGCCTCATTGCAGCACGATCGGCAAAATCGGTTCGGTGTTGCTCGTCGAGGGGAAGTCGCGAAACTGCGAGCAGTAGGCGGCGCGGACTCGAACGAAGGCGGAGCTCCGATCGTAGATGGGGTGGGGGGGCCTCGCGATCGAGCGCTCGCGAAGGGGGAGCGGGGGAGGCACAAGGGGGTGCACGAAGGAGAACAGCTGGACGCGGGAAGGGGCGCCACCCGCCCGCGCGCGCGAAACTCACAGCGCGAACTCGGGCGCCACTACGCGGTTCGCGAAAGAAAGAGAGGGAGACAACAGCAGCAGCAGCGGCGGCGGCAACCGGCAGTTTCGCACGCGGAGTCCCCCTCAGTCGCGACGCGCTTGGCACGCGGTTAACGTCGTTCGCATCGAATCTGCGCAGTATATATATACGTATATACACACACTACGTCAATATATAGCTTACAATCGACATTGGCGGACGCGAGAGCAGCTGTCACGCGCGCGTCTTCTTGCTTATGTATTATTACGTCTCTCCGACGCTTCTGTACTTTTTCTGACTCTTTTTTTTGCGTTCGTTCCTTGGTGTGCGTGGGTGCTCGAGGCAAATATATATAGATACACTAGTATACGTGGAATGATATAAACTTCGTCATCGTCGACTTCGTCATCTTGTGACTTTGTGTGCTTTTTTGCGAACAGTTCGATTGCTGACTGTGCGAGTGTTGTTTGTGATACGAATAATACATTATAAATCGATGAATGATAATTACATAATAATTAATAATTAAAAAAAAGTGATAAGGACGTTATGCAGCTCGTTAGTGAGCAGTGACTCTGGTTTATCGGATTATAAAAATCGAATCGCTCGGCGACATGCCGATTTCGCAGGCGATCGAGCGGAGCAGCAGCACCGGTAGCAGATAAACGACGCCAGCCTGTGCGTCGAGGATCGAGGAGGAGGAGACGACAGGGAGTCAGGTGGCCCGATCGAGGGCCCGCATTCATCGAGCAAAGGTCGAAAGCTGGCGACAGCTAAAGCCGCAATCACGACGTCGTCACCGACGTCGAGCAACCACCAGGAGAGGCCCGAGGAGGCCGAGGAGGAGAGGATGACGGCGACCGAGCAGCTGAGCGGCGCCGGCTCGCCCCAACAGTTCTGCCTGCGCTGGAACAACTACCAAACGAACCTCACCAACGTGTTCGATCAGCTGCTGCAGTCGGAGAGCTTCGTCGACGTGACGCTCGCCTGCGACGGCAACTCCGTCAAAGCTCACAAGATGGTACTGTCGGCCTGCAGCCCGTACTTCCAGACGCTCTTCTGCGACAACCCGTGCCAGCATCCGATCGTCATCATGAAGGACATCAAGTGGCCAGAGCTCAAGGCCGCGGTCGAGTTCATGTACAAGGGCGAGATCAACGTGTCGCAGGAGCAAATCGGGCCGCTGCTCAAGGTCGCCGAGACCCTGAAGATCCGGGGCTTGGCCGACGTCGGCAGCGAGCACGAGCTCGCCAAATCGGCCGAGGACCAGCTGAGCGTGGCCTCGGTGAGGGCCGCGCGCGAGCAGCAACGCGACCGCAGCAGCAGCGATCAGCAGCAGCGAAAAAAGCGCCGACACATGAACTCGCTGGAGCGATCGCCGAGCAACGGCAGCCCGGAGCTGAGGGCCGCCTCGGAGGAGCGAGACTCGGCCAGCACCGGCGGCCAGGAGAGTCTGCACGGCGGCCTCGGGGGGCCCGGCTCGGCCTCGACGCCTCGCTCCCTCGGTTCGCCCAGCGTGCCCAGCATCTCCGTGACGCCCCAGATCAACCTGCACGAGCTGCCGGGCAGTCTGGCCCTGAGCCTGCAGTCGGGCTCGTCGACGCCCCACGGCATGTCCTCGTCCACCTCGGCGCAGTCGCAGGCGGCGGCCGCCTCGCTGCTCGTCGGTCATCACGTGGCGCCCGGTGTGGCAGCCGCCGCTGCGGCCGCGGCAGCTGCTGCCGCCGCAGCCGGTCACGTGACCCCGGCTAGCACGCCGGTGAACCACCTCAACGCCCACGTGGTGGCCCAGCAACTGTCGGCTGCCCAGCAGCAGCACCGCCAGCAGGAGCAGCAGCAGCAACAGCAGCAGCAGCACCATCGGGGCCAGCAGCAGCAACAGCCGACCTCGCAGGAGCCGCATCATCATCAGTCGTTAGTGCATCATCATCATCATCAGCAGCCGCAGCAGCATCACCCGAGTATCGGTGACGATCTCGAGATCAAGCCTGGCATCGCAGAAATGATACGCGAGGAAGAAAGGGTAAGTGATGCTCGATTTATGCTTCCTCTGTCATTATTAGCCGTGTAAGTTTTTTCGAATTCTTTGAAAATAAAAGACATAAAGAAAAGCAATAACAGTAGCTAGTCGCAATATCCTCTTTGTGGTCTCACTCCTCTCGCGCTTTTGGTAATTGCCAGGGGGGAAAAGTAAAATTGCCGTCAGAAGAGAGGAGAGAGAACGAGAGAGAACGAGAGTGAGAGAGAGAAAGAGAGAAAGAACGAGCAAAGTTGGGGAATTTCGGATACAGTGTCGCAGCCGTAAATCGCCAATTGCACTGTCCATTCATCCCGTAGATATGCACCACAAACAACTTGCCTGCGTTTTTCTTCTCTTCTGCTGGACTCCATTACAATTAGTGTTTTTCGGCCAGCGAAATCCCACCGAGGGGGGTTAGCTAAGCGCGAGCGCGTGATATTCATCAGGAGAATCGCGCGATACGCCCCAAATTGAAAACTTTGATGTATTAAAATGCCTTTTTTTTAGTCTTTTCCCCGCTGAACTGATCAAGCAGCGCGAGCTTGCGTCAGAGAAAAAGAGAACAAGAAGGAGAAGAATGAAAAGTGTTGGCCATTTCGGTCGCACGATAAAAAGAGAGAATGTGGAAATAATTTTTCAAATGCGACGCATCGCTCATATTTCATGCAATCGAGCTTGTCTAATGCGCTGAGCTACACCGAATACAAGGCAAATTACCATGCTCGAGTACAAAAATGTGCGATTAAATTATTAAAATAGTTATATAATTTATTGTCGATCCGTCGATGATGCATACGCAGGAACGGGGATAAATCGATATATAGGCAGATTTTTATGTGAACACGAGGTAAATTGCATTAAAGAAAAAAAACGGCCAAATGACGTCTAGAGAGGCACGGAGAAAACCTCGAGCGCCGAAGAGACGTGTTATTGTTGGATGTTACATTAAATACACGCCTTGCACTTATACACGCGAGCGATAAATCGCATATACATATATTCGAGCGTCGATTGCGCAACCGTCGGCAATGTGGATTATCGCATGAAATTGAAGAATAAATATGACATCTTATTGAAATTATTATTTTACGATGATATGCATGGTAAATTAAACTTATGCAACGACGACGACGAAGACGACGAAGACGACGAGTGCTCGGCGCGATGCGAGCGCACAACACTGCGAGAGCACAGCATAAGATTAATAACGAATAATTTAAATATAGAAGCGGCAGCGGCGGCATTATTTTTCTTCGTTTTTTTTTTATTCTTTTTTGTTATTTTTCATTTGCATGCGATCGTGCGAGTTCTCGTATTAATATATACATATTGCCGTGCGCGCCGCTCGATTGTTCGCAAGTGTACAATGTACATTATAAAGCGCGTCTTGTGCCTCAATGTGTCAAAGTCGATCGGATGGAAATTTACTCGAAAATATACATAATGCTGGCGCGCGCGCACCGCCTCACGCGTGACTTTATTTTCTTTTACTTTTTTTTTATTTTATCGACAACAATATAAACTTTCTCTTCGCGCAGCTGTTTAAAAAAATGCCAATGTGAAAAGTTCGCGGGCCAGATCAATGACCCATGCATTAATGGGGCGCGTAAATATACTCGCGCGCGCGCGCGCGAAAATTTTGGAAAACCCCGCACGGCCCGGCTTATCGACGCGCTTTAATTTTTGAACGAGCCGAGAGCGGCCCCGAAGGCGCACTAATATAATATTATATAGAATCGCGCGCTCCGTTCCGCTCTCGTTCTATTATATCTCGTCTAGCTCTCGGAGTCGGTCTCTCGAGTACGCGTTTACGGGTCGTATATTATTGACCATCTCGTATATTTTAATAAGGGCCAGGCGTATTACGTATAGCGAGCGCAGAAGCGCATCCTCTATATCGGATCGCCGCGCGCTCGGTCCACTCCACGCCTGCCGTGCTGTAATACTATGTGTTTTAAATATTTCACAAATTGCTTTCCTAGGATACGTCGAGCGCAGGTAGCTGCTGCCGTGGCAGGGCACACTCTCACACACAATACCCGGAACGCGCGCTAATCTCGATTCTCCGAGATGCATTTACGGCAGGACACCGAGCGACTGGCGCAGGGGGGCGATACGAGCTAGCTGCCAGGGGCATCTTCTCTTTTTTTTTTGTCGCGCTCGCGCAGCAACGCTTGCACAACGTATCTCATTAGTAATTCCAATTCGGAAAGAAACGTAGCGCGCGGGCAATCCGTCACTGCGACTGCAGGACTGCCTTAGCGGCTGCTAAATTTTCCATTTCCAAAATGTGTATCGACGTACACGCACGCAGCAACGCACCACCGCTATATTATACGTTGCACAGCTATTGTGCTCTTGGCTGTGGGGTGGCTCTCGAGCATATATGCGCGCGTTCGAGCAGAGGGAGAAGCTGCATATGACGAATGCGAGAGAGAGAGAGAGAGAGAGGCAACCTAAGAGAGGAGTGCATCGGCTCGAGCGCGAGTATAGGGCGGTAAATCAGAAATTATCTGGGTGTCTCGTCTGCCTTTTCCCATCTGAACTCGCATAAATATAAGCCTGTAGAACAACAACAACAACGACAGTTTCGTCGACGAGTGTCTCTTACGCTCCGTACCGCGCGCCTACACCTCCATATATACATACAGACAAGTACTCGATATTATTCGAACGGCTCTGATGGACGGATGACCAGACTCTATGCCTGCACTGCATGTGTGTCTGTGTGTGTGTGTGCATATACATGTACGGTGCGGGCCATTCCCCAGATTGCTTCGTCGCTGCTGCTGCAGTCCGCACTGCAAGAAGAGAGACAGAGAAAGATTTATAATACGCGTATATGGACGAGGCGAGTCGCGTGTGTTATCTGACGTGTATACGCTCGAGTGCGGCTATTGCAGCCCCTCCGCCCACGCACCACCACCTTTATACGCGCGCACTGCACAATGAAGTTTCTAATGTCGTCATTGGTGATGCGTTTTTAAGCCTTTTTTCTTCCTATCTCTTTCTTTTTTTTGTTGCTGTATTCATAATTTTTTATTCAACGGGCAAATGGCATTGAGCAATTTTATATTACTCTTGTCTCGCTTTTTTTGTCGTTGTCGTCGTCGTCGTTGTCGTCGTCGTCGTGGAGGGAGAGGAAAAAAAATTGCCTGCACGGCGATATTCTGTGTACAGCAGTGATCGACGCCGCCACCACCGCCGCGCTCTTCTCTTCGGCGGCGCTCCCTTCGTGCAATATACTGGGCACACTAATTAAATTTTAGAATATTCGATTATACTCGCACATTCGTTCATATACATATAATGCTCGGGCAGCAAGCAGCTACATACGCGCCTATACCTATATGTGCCCGTGTACATATAAATATACATCGTTGGTTTGTCTATGTGGTGTGCGCGTCGCGTGTATAATATATATATGTAGGCGCAGTTTTATATGTATCGAAGGGGTATATTTCTCACTCTCACTGACAGCGTGGCAGTTTTTCGTTGCTGGAAATATCTTTTTTACGCGTCCAGCTTGTCTCTCTCTCTCTCTCTCTCCCTCTGCATGTGTACAACGTATATGTATGTATGCGTGTGCGGTCGAGGGCATCGCGTTTCAGACGGGGGTTGTGATCGCCGGTATAACAGCGAACGAAGGTATACGCGCATACCCCCACATATACATAGCAAAACGACTGATCGACACCTTCGCTCATCGTATTTTCCCTCGTCATCCAAGTCACGATGCTTGATCTCCCCCATTTATGTTATTAGCGAGTCGCGCATTCACGAATTATATACTTTCTCCCTCTCTCGGAGTGGTATAAGCGGAAATCTTTACGGGTCATAAGTTGAAAATTCGCGGATTTCATTATTATCTCCAGGCCAAGTCTCGGGACGCAGACGCTCGACCGAAGCTCTCTCCTACGCTCGCGCACACTCCGAGCCAATAAATTTTCTTTTTAAGTATGAAATATATTCCACATTTTCATGTCTTATTCGTATACAGTCGGGGCGCGCATATAGTAAACTTACATAAATATAAATTGGAGCGCGCGCCGAGCGGACGTTCCAGCGCCGCTGCTATATTCTCTCTACCTTCGTATATTATATGTAAAAGTTATAAAGTATGTTATAATAAGTCATTGAAATGTATGCTTCGTTTCGGAGGAGAGATACTATAGGGGGCGGTGGGAGCGAACGAAAAAAAATAAAATAAAAAAAGTCTCGCGTGCGATCGATTCCTCAAGATTCTTTGCAATTTGCGAAAATTACGAATCCCAGCGAGCGATAAATTTTCATCTTCTCCGGCTGCGATTCGTATACACACACACACAAGCTCGCGTAAGGCGCGCATATACGTATACTATAAATTGTGTATTATATTAATATATATCGCTGCTCGGTGCTCGACGTTGGCGGCCCATTGTCTGGACTACAAATTAATCGTTCGACGATCGATGCACTGCGTAGACACCATCTTTCCCAGCTTATGTACGTGTACGTGTCCGAGTTATTACGTGCACGCGTAGCAATGATTAAATACAATATATTGTATTTAGAAAATCGCTATCGATCATCGCAGTCTCTTGCCTCTGCGTGTGCGGCTCGTTCGAGGCGCGTTGAACGTGACGCGAAGTTTCTTCTCGGCTTCTTTTTTGTCGCCGTCGTCGTCGTCGAAGCATCAATGTCGCGCAATAAGCCGACAATTTATACACCCAAAGCGATTTCTGCAATATATATAGATCGGATTATGCGCATCTTGTATGATATAAGCAAACGACAAAACAACCTTTGGACTTTTTGCATAGTCGGAACATGTACTTTAGCTTCCGAAACTTTGACTCGGCGCGCAGTCGAGTAGTGCGAGTAGTCGCTGTGTAAGTGTGTACTTAGAATCCTCCCTCCCGTGCTCTTGCTGCCGCTGCTGTGCTCCGGCGCTTCCTTCTTCGCCGGAATTCCAAGAGAGAGAGAGATGACGGGGATCGAGAACACGTCAGGAGAGCTACTCG